GACACAAAATTTACTCAGCCTTCTATCACTATATTTAATTTTATTGAACAAAGATAATTAAATTTTAGTTTTTAAAAGTTTCATAAGTAGGCTATGTTTTAAGTCCCCAATACTTATAATTCGGAACGGATATTTTAAACGTGTTTTGTTTCGCACTGAGATTTATTACTTGTGTTGCTTTAAAAAAGAGATAAAAATATTACCGTTAATAAATTAGCCATTTTTAGTATAAATAATGAAGGCCACTTTTTTAATGAAAACTCTGCAAGGTTTCAATATGGTCTTAAAAATAAAGAAGCAAGTGTCGAAATGTTCAGCTTCAAAATAACCGAATTTTTTGAAGTACTTAAATTGAATAAACAGATTAAAATTTTACTTTATAAATCCGAACACATGAAAACAAAACAAAAACAACAACAAAAAAAAAAAAAAAAAAAAAAAAAAACGCAAGTAACAACTTTCTTAAATATGCAAGAGATTTTCTTCCTCCTCATTGCGTACCTTTGTGGCGTAATTAAAAGCACAAGCGGCTAGAAAGGTTCAGATCTCGAAACAAGAGAACGGCTGAAGTTTCGCGTTTCGTGCTCCGAAATGAACCTAATGATTCTACAAGTGAAGAGAAAAATATATAATAAGTCGAAAATTAATTAATTAATTTTTAAACTTACTTCGGCAATATCAGTTTTTCTAGCATGTTAGATATATTTATTAATAATAATTATTTTTGGGTTTACGTTTGACAGACATTGTGAATTTCCTAAGTGTAATGTAACGTGAATGACAACTCTATGGGAAGAGAACAGGAAATCCTTTCTCTATGGAATATATGTACAGATTCCTTAACTCTAAATACGTCTGCGCAAATGCAACGATAAAACATGAATGAAACAACAACAAAAAAATTTACTACTGCGCTTTCTCCATTCTTTATGCCGTTTTTTTAAAAATTAATCCAAATTGACAGTTAACTCAAGCAACTTATCATTGTGCTATATAAAGTATAGAACACTATAACATAAGTCATTTACAATAGGTACTACTAAACATCATGAATGTGTAACTGAAAATTCATGTTTATGCCGATAAGTATCTGGAAAATGTGTGAATATGTGCAAAGATAAGTAAACATTTTCTAGTAAGAGTAATCTAAGTTAACATATATCATTATAACCAGACAATATATAATCAAACAAGGAGCGTTCTAAAAGAATAGCAAATTAGACCCAGTAAAATCGAGTATATTGGTCCAGTGTAGAAATTTAAATAAAATTAAGTACAATAATAGTAAGTAAAATTAAACCAACGTTTATTGAAGGTGACACGTTTAAGGATACAAGTTACATTTTAAATTAGTGGTGACTGGTCATCTAAATATATGAGGAAACAACGGAGAAAAATAATTTGTAAAAACACACCTTCTTTACATATATACAATTTCACAGTTCACGGATGGGCCACATCATACAAAATTTGGATACTTGGTACAGGTGCAAAACAAAGATAGGATAACAACCACGTAGCAGGGAATAAGTACTATACGTCGGGAAATTCATCTGTAAGAAAAAAAGAAAGTATGAGATAAAATTAGTCAAAGGCAACTGTTTCGGAGGCCAGGCTTCCCTCTTTTCTGCCGCTTTCAACCGGTAGGACATCGGACTTCCCAAATCCACAGGCCATTCTTGAGTCAGGAAATAAGCAAGAAATGTTGTATCAGTACGCCTTTCTTCAGTGCAGGTTTTTTAAACGTTCGTCACATCCCCGTCTCCGAAGCTGCTGCCCTCCAAGCCGTACCGTAGAAGTGTCATCCTTTTTTTTTGCTTCGCAGCTCTCCGTAAAAAAAAATAATAAAAAAATAAAAATAAATAAAGTCTATCCGAAATTTCTTTTCGCCGTCTCCGTCGTACCAACTGCGCAGCAACTTTTGTACCTAGCGAGATCTTGAAATAATTGGCGAAGTATGATGATCGGAAGAAAGCCACGCACGGCAACCCCAAAAAAATGAACAGAGAAATCTTCACGGGAAGGGTTTTCCGACTACAAGAATTTTTCGAACGACGCAGTTCAACATTGGGTCAACCTCCTCTCTGCTGATGGGAGGGGGGAAAGCACTAGCCCCGTCTCGGTGTGCAACTCTACCATGGCAAGCATCCTAACCGACGAAAATTTACTCCCATAAACAAACTCCCGGCAGAACATCTCTACGCTAGAGAGACCAGAGCAACCAGGGTCTCGAATATGCCAAGTAGTCCAGATGGTCAAGTCATCAGCACATGTGGTGAAACGCTTGGCAAAAGAAATTCGGAGGTGCAGCAAATCCTTAGATAAAGGATTCTGAGAACGAATTCCAAGCCGACAGTTTTGGAAGGAAAAAAAATTCAGCCCCAGTGAATAGTTTTCAACACCATAAACAAATTTAGTACATTCAAAATAAAACCATTATTTAACAATTAAGTTCACTAGAATGTCAACACCATATAAATTGTTTCTTCAAAAGAAATTAAGTATACACACTCATTAACCAGATTGAGTTTCATTTACAATTGATAGACCTTATCACCAGTCAGAAAATATGAATTCGATAACTACTCGTACAATAGAAAGAGGGGTAAAAAATAAGTTACCTCAAATAAAATTTAAAAATAAATTTACACATCAAAAGTGCAGCAACAAGGCTTTAAAATAATTAAAGTTAAAAGTTAAACAACCTTAAGGGTCAAAAGCAAACAAGTACAAAACCCAAGTACAACTTGAATCCCTAAACTCAAATTAAAATTAAACAATTTCAAACATTTAAAGCAACCAAACCTAAATTTAAAGCTTGCAAAAGTTACAGTTTAAACTTACAACCAACTTTAAACAAACTAAAGCAAAAGTTAATAAATTCAATTTCTAATCAAAACTGAATTAAGTAAGAAAAAACTTAAAGCTTGAAAATAATAACAATTAATACATAACAACATCATCTTTCAGTAGTACAGCTTATCTAAACGCATCTTGCAAAAGCTAATCAGGAAAATCCGAAACATCCTAAGGGAAAATAAAGTGACTCTATAAGGTATTTCTCCCGCCTTCTTAGCGTGCCTTCGTGGTGTAGTAGTCTGCACACTGAGCGCGTATTCCAGAGGCCGTGGTTCGATTCACTGCGAGGGCGTTGCTCATTTTTCATCTCTCCTGTTCCAAAAAAATACCTAATGCCTCTACAACTTAATGAAAATTACATGCTTTATCATCAGATAGAAAATTTTTAATTTAAAAATAGGGTTTTTCAGCAGAGATAATTAACGAAGAACTTACCACCGTAAAATTTATGCCACTTAGATCCTACAGCTACTTCAACTTCAAATTGTCACAATAACTCGAGCCGAAAGTAGTCAGAAGAAGAAAGGAAGACAGATTATTTTTCAAACCAACCAACTTCCATTAACGCATGGAAACGAAGTTTTCGTATATTTATATATATGTAAAACTATCTATCTTATATTAATCTATCTATTAACTAATAATGCTATCTACATCTCTGCTCGTATTTTCTCTCTCAAAATAATGATGCTTATATTATATTAATGGTTGTTACATAAAACCAACTAAGCTCGCTAATTCAGACATGTTCGATGGTTTTTTAAATGGAGAAGATTTATTAAATGGTACGTTAATTTCTAGTAAAATAGCCATCACAGTTTTTTTTATTATTATTCGAGTTGTAGATACATTAGGTTATTTTTAATGGAGGAGTGATAAAAAATAAGCAACGCCCTCCCCGGAAATCGATCCACGGATTTCTGGAGTACGCGCTCAGCGTGCAGACCGCTACACTACGAAGGCATGCTAAGAACGCGGGAGAAATACCTTATAGTGTTAATGGAAATTACAATTACAGACAATCATGGGATAAACACAGCAAAAGAGATTTAAAAGGCAAAGTAAAAAAAAAAAAAAAAGCATACTCAAAAATATAAAGTTAAATTGCAGCAAACAAGGAAAAAAAAACACAAAGAAAATTCAAAAAATAAGAAAAGAAAAAGGCATTGAAAATTAAATGAAAAGAAAAAGACATTGACAATTAAAAAAATAATTAAGTACTTGATAATAAATCAAGCTATAATTTTTAAACTAGGCTTGTAGACCGAAAATCGTTTAAATTACATTAATATTTTTGAACATACTGAACATATTGAACATACTGTATGTGAAATATTGTTTTAAAATGTATCGAAATTAGAATAAAAAATAATTTAGTAGCATTTAGTACCAATTAATATACCCGTGTTTGAAGCTTGTATATTATGAGGATAAAATCATATTTTGTAATACAGCATTTCTACTGAATGAAGAAAAGACATAACCTTCGTATATTATTCATAAAAATTAGGGGATCTCAAGTTTAGGAAAATTCACCTTAACACACATTTCTGTTTTTACTTTGAAATTAATGTTACGAATTATTTTCATTACGATAATTGATGCATATATCTGGAGCTTATGTAATGACACTTATTTTCTTGTAATAGACCTTCATGTACCCAACGTTTAGCAGAACAATTGAAAAATTGAAATGTGTGGGAAAGTTTAGGTTGACTTATCCTTTATGTTCTTAAAATTTGTTTTAAATTCGAAAGCAAAGAGTATAACCAATTTGTGTTGTCAGGAAAATAGGTATCGGTTACCTCCTTTGCTCAGCTATTTATTGCTTTATGTTTGCAAATAATTTCCGCCATATACTTATCGATCTTAAGCTCACATGTTTCTGAAGTCTATTTAACGAACGTTGAAAGCGTTTTTGCAAGGCAGCATTCTTAATTTGAGCCAAGGAACAGTTCACTGAAGAAACCAGGATGACATTCCTCCCCTTCCTCTAGGAGTCCTTAGTAGAAGATCCTACAACAAAGACGTCCATCTCCGCCGATAGAGGCGCTATCATCTTTCCGAACACCAAGAGAGGTTGATCAGCAAACGCTGTAGTCATGGAAACAGACGAACACGGTGGCATGACGCCCGAGCAGTCATGTCCACAGTCATGGAGACTTCCCGCGGCCCTACCTAACAGTGGAGAGTGCTGCGAAGTTTTATGATATCCCAAGGATTGGAGTATCAGAAATGATTGAGCACCCGGGTTGGACTTTCTTCCTTATCGTGCTTGCTCTGGTTTTACACGTGTCGGCGCTCCCAGCTGTGGTTAAAGTGGGTAAGTTTTCTTGCATATCCATCGGTTGCGTAATACTTTTCTACCGCGTCAGGTGGGAGCCACAAGTGGGTACTTGCCGGGCAGTGACATTTGTTCAAGCGTTTGCAACTTGGCAAATTTTAATACTACCTGCCGTTAATACGAAGCAAATTCAACGTTTCAAAAACGTCTGAATAATATATAATGCTACGGGTAAATTTTAATATATGCATAGATATATAATTTTATTTGCAGAGACATTTCATTTATTTGTACTCAAATTATTATTCATAGTAGCAGATTCAACCTGATTTTAAAAATGCTTAATTGCATTATTAAATACTATATTTAAAAGGAAATGTGTTACATTGTTTTTAAGTTTCCGCCTTTATGCATATTAAAATTTTACTTTTCCATCGTACAGGTAAGAGCCACAAGTAGTGTTTTTTAGGCAATTGACATTCAATGATCGTTCAAGTCTTCATGCTTTTAAAAATTATCAAATTTTATTTGTACCTGACATCTGTATAAAGCACAAGTAACAAAAATGTATGAATAATATATAAAGGGTAAATTAATGACTGTTAATATATAGTTTTATTTGCAAGAAAGTTTCATTTATTTGTACTAAGATTATTATTCAGAGGAACAAAAGAAAAGTGAATTTTTAAATGTTTCTCTACACTATGAATCGCTCAATTTAAGACAAAACAATTTCGAGGTTTAATTTGATGTCTGAAGAAATAGTTAACATTTGCACAATAAAAATTACACAGATTAAATTTATATTAATTTAAACAAAATGTTTTAAGCGATTTCTGAAGTAACCTATTCCTTTATGAAATATTCTGATTTTACGAACCTATGAAATAGTTTTCTTTAAAAACTTGGTTCATGATATCTGGTACTGATTGCTCTGAACATTAACTGCCTTTTTATTTTGTTTTATTTAAATAAAAAGTGATTTTTAAATGGAAATAATAAATAGCTGTTCTGCAGACTCTATTATATATGATTATATCAATTGAATGTCAGACTATTTTTAAAGAAAAAGCTATTGATATTTGTAATGAGTTTTAACGTGTCATTTATAGTGTCTTATATCAGAAAATCCGGTGTCTCATACAGAAAATGAGACATAAAAACTCTTTTTTTATTCAGATATGTTCAGATTTTTTACACCATTGTTTCGCATTTTAGGATACATTTTCTTTTATGTTAGTATTCTAGACACGTAGTATTATTTTTATTACTAAAATGTTGCTCTTCAATTTTTCACGTTCCACAGTTTATATAAAATGTGGAACGTTTTCACGTTCCACAGTTTATACACACATATATAAATTATAAATCCGTCTATTTTTTGAGGCTGTTCATTCAGCGTTGAAAATAATTAGCTAACATACTAAAATATACTCTTAAGCAATAAATAATGTCATTTAACACTTATTATTTAATAGGATCTTTCTACCCAATCCAAGTTTACTGCATACGTGCTCTCATTCTTTATACAGCCGACTAAGTGATTTTGACAATCTACTTGCATTTTTGACAATGGCAAAAGGGATTGGGAATAATAATAATAGTAGTAGTTTAGACATTTACTTACATTCTAACAAGTTTTATATTAGTTTGAAGTGAAAATATTAAACATTTTGAATAATAATGAAAGTTATTTTTGCATTTCTTGCTAATCAAATTAGTTTAATGAGTTAGTGAAAAATATTCCTAAATTGAATAATGTTTAGTTTTTTCTGTGCATTAAGATTTTTGGTGCAAGATTTGTAGCTCATAGGTACTTGAAGATCTACTTACTTAATTACGCGTTACAAGAAATATATAAATGTAAGTTTCACTTTTAAATTAATTTCTTGCATGAAATTTATTCTTTTGGTATGAGATTATAAAATATTGCAAAGCCTTGTGATATATTCTTATGATATGTTTCAATTCGAAACATATTCTATATGACAAATCCATACTAAATCATAAGTCCATACTAAATCAAAAACTATCATACTTCAGGATTGTCTGAAGCAAGTACGGAATTTTGAATTTTAAAACTTGTTTTCAGTTGCAAGATTTAATGAGTTAATCTTATTATAATATTGTTGTGTGTTACAATATGTTTGTTAAATAGTCTATTAATGCATTAATTTATTTTAAACCCTTTAAGAGACTGATTTAATGATGTTGTATATTGCTAGTTACAAATTAAATATTTTTTTCCGCAGAATGTATATGAAAACGTGCGTGACAGGAAAGTAAAATAATGCTATAAATTTAAGTGGTTTTTTCCTTTAATTTACTATTGTTTACGATCTTTGAAATTGCATCCTGAGAAAGGGTTTAGGCTAATAATGTAATAAATTTGTACGAGAGTAAAGGATTTCTTGATCTATGAGTTTACTCTGGTTACCATGATTATCACTTTTTTACGAAACTTATTTGGTACTCCTAATATAAAGTTCGAATAGGTGAGTAGCATAAGACATGAATGAAATAAGTTATAAATTAATTAACCACGATTCAACAAACTTTTCATGTTTCAAGATATCCATTTTCAGAGAATAGCCTTTTTCATTAACTTACTTTTAGTTCTTCAAAAACCTCAAAATTATCTCCCAACTCATTATTTAGTAATTGAACTTGAAATCCTTTTACCATTTCATAACTCAATACCTCGGATGCTAAGACTATTCATCGTGTTTTCATGAAAAAAAAAGACTTAAAAACGTACATATTAATTGTTATACATATATTCTGTACAATGCTTTACTCTATATATACATATTTTTAGACTATATTAACTTTTGTTATCATCTTCTTATAATGTAACATAATAAAATAGGGCTAAGTAACATGCGTACGAATTAGACGTTAAGGATCACATGCAAAAGCCTTTTAGAGAACTGGAACACTGATATATCAGTATGTTACGCATATATAAATTATTCAAATTAATTTTTAGGAAAGGTGATTTGAAGTTGCAAGGGTTCGAAGTTGTTGGTGTGGACATTGCCGCATGAAATTAAAACGAATGGAAATTCTGTGCAATGGGTTTCCTCAGGAAACTCTTGCATACAATTAACATTGCATATTTGTTTTTGTTCATACAATAAATAAACAGAAGACTTTCCTTTTTTCAAATATTAATTAACATAATACTGTTTCTTAAACCTAAGCTTTTAATCTCAGTTTCTGTAATAGAAATGTAGTATCTTTCTCGGTTTCTCGGATTAGGGATTAGGGATTATTTAATTATGGCAGAGCACACAAGGGCTATCTGCCTAAAGGGAGGGATGCCTTCGTGGAGGACTTTCTAAGGGAAACTGGCTCCTATACACGTTACACATGGGGAAAACCACGAAAACGTACATGCAGCCAGCCCGTTCACGGGATTCGAACCTTGGACCGAACTACCAGTGTTCAGCGTCTTTACCGCTCGGCCGCTGGTGGGCCACTCTCGGTTTCTCAGTGTTTTAATAACAATAATATTGTTATGAAATACAAGTTGTATTTATAATGGTTTATAGACAAGAGACATTAATTTGGCTTAAAATAACACTCCAAACGGCGATTATTGGAGAAGTAAAACAACAAGAATCAGTCAAGAAACAACAGGGATTTGAATTTAGGCAACTGAAGATTGAAAAATCTAATTCCTGCAAAATTTACAATCATTACGCTGATTATTGCTGTTTAACTTCTCCAATAAACATGCATTAGCCGATTCAGTTAAAGAAACCATTTGCTAGCGTAAATGTCGTGTGTTAAGGAAGTATTTAAAATCAAGCTAATAACGTGTAAAAATCGCTTTATATTTTAAATCTATTATGTGGTTTATTACATAATAATAAAATTATAGTTATGAAAATATAGCTTAATTTTTAGAATAGTTACGATTTTCTTCTTAGCTTTCCAAAGAATAATATATTGTATTAGAAAACATAGCAGGGTTTTTGATTGATGTAGTAAATGGAATTGATTTTACCAAAGTAAACACACCAACTCTTTTGGAAGATCTTAAGATAATTCATTATACAATCAAAATTATTATGATTGTCTGAGAATTCGGCTTTGCTATACTCAAAGTTTTCTAACTTATAAAAGAGAGCGTTTTGTTTTCAAGACATGAATGTTACTTTTTCCTACAAAAATAAACGGACACTGCACATAAGATGTTGTTTTTCCCAAAGGCAAAAAATGTTTATTTTATCACCCAAATTGTAACAAAACGCTGCTTATCAGTATTAAAAATGAACCATTTAAAACCATAGATGTCTACTTTTTAAAATTATAATTTCATGTTTTGGGATGGCAAACAAAATGTTAAATATATATAAGCTAACTGAGACGTGATTTCTGTGTAAAACTTATTTTTTGTCATTAAACGTGTCGTTATTTATTTGAAACTAAAATCATGTTAATATTGTAAAAATCACCAGTTATGTTCTAAATAATTATACTTCATCATTATTATTAAATAATATTCGAAATACACGTATTTTGTTTCTTCGTTACAAGCTTTTGTTTACTGAAAATAAAGCCGAAGAATAAAAAATTATTAAACCTATGTTATACATCAGTTACACGTTGACGCTTTTTATTAGATCTAAACAGTGAATACTTGTTTTTATCACTTAAATTGTAACAGCACATTGCTTATCAGCGCAATAAAATGAATCATTTAAAATTATAGATGCCTAATTATAATTTTCGTGTTTCGCGATGTCAAAAAATATATTAATAGATTATATGCTGAGACTTGTTTTCTGGGTAAAACTTTTGTTATTATTTAAAAGTAAAATCACGTCTGTTACTTCTATTTTATAAATAATTTTACTTTATCATTATTAATAAATAATATTCGAAAGATACGTATTTTCTTTCTTCCTGACTAGTTTTTGTTTATTGAAAATTATCCTAAAATTTAAAAATTATCTATAAACTTGTGTTTTTAGTCAGTTACACGTTCATCCCTTTTATTAGATCTAAACTGTAAATATTTGTTTTGTGAT